ACATAGCCCTCTGCCTTTTCATCTTGTCTATCTTTCTGTGAATGTGTTTTTTGTTCCACAGGCTGCAGGAATGTAGTTTTTCTTGCTTCTGCTGTCTGCCTTCTGGTGGATGAGGCTATCTAAGAGGCTTGATGGGAGGGACTGGTGGTGGGTAGAGCTGACTGTTGCTCTGGTGGGCAGAGCTCAGTAAAACTTTAATCCACTTGACTGTTGATGGGTGGGGCTGGGTTCCCTCCCTGTTGGTTGTTTGGCCTGAGGCAACCCAACACTGGAGCCTACCTCAGCTCTTTGGTGGGGCTAATGACAGATTCTGGGAGGGCTCATGCCAAGGAGCACTTCCCAGAACTTCTGCTGCCAGTGTCCTTGTCCCCACAGTGAGCCACAGCCCGCCCTCCCTCCACGCCTCTGCAGGAGACCCTCAAACACTAGCAGGTAGGTCTGGTTCAGTCACCTATGGGGTCACTGCTCCTTCTCCTGGGTCCCGATGTGCACACTACTTTGTGTGTGCCCTCCAAGAGTGGAGTCTCTCTTTCCCCTAGTCCTGTTGAAGTCCTGCAATCAATTCCCACTAGGCTTCAAAGTCTAATTCTCTAGGAATTCCTCCTCCCATTGCCAGACCCCAGGTTGGGAAGCCTGACCTGGGGCTCAGAACTTTCACTCCAGTGGGTGGACTTCTGTGGTATAAGTGTTTCCAGTCTGTGAGTCACCCACCCACCAGTTATGGGATTTGATTTTGCTGTGATTGCATCCCTCCTACCATCTCACTGTGGCTTCTCCTTTGTCTTTGGATGTGGGGTATCTTTTTTGGTGAGTTCCAGTGTCTTCCTGTCGATGATTGTCCAGCAGCTAGTTGTGATTCTGGTGTTCTCGCAAGAGGGAGTGAGAGCACGTCCTTCTACTCCGCCATCTTGGTTCCTCTCCAACGCAGCTATTTCTTTAGGAGACAAAAAAAGGTATTTCCTTTAAGACAGCTTTCACTTTTTCCCCCTCCGCTCCAATATTTCAATATAAACATTCTAGCTAGATTGCTGATTTTCAAAACATGCTTGGTTCAGAGACTTCCACATTAAGACTATAGAAACGTCTCTGTAATTATGAACTATTTAGAAACGCTTTAACAAAATAATTTAATCCTAAACATTTAAAAGTGAGTTTATACCAGTAAATCAAACGAATATATTAAGTTGAAGAAAAAAAAGTTTTCTTAAATGCTAAAGAAAAACACAGCCTGTGTGGACACGAGTTCTTGGGAACTGAGTCCTACCTTACAAATTCACGATTGTTACAATGCCTTTGCTGGTTTTATGTGCTAATGATAACCTACAAAGTATGAGACAGAAGGGCAAAATGATTCCATCAGACGCTGAAGAACAAAACCAACTAGGAGGAAGCCTCTTATTGGCACAAAGTAGACTGTACTTTGACCACGTAAGGACATGCAACATTTGAAAAAAGAAATCAGTTCTTCAATATTTTATTAAGGACAGTGACTTCTTTCCACTTACATGCTCAAGGAGATGACAAACAGCTGGCCTCGTTTTAGCAGCCTGTATGACAATTCACATTCCTTTTCACTGAAGGCAAAGATTAGAAACAAGTCCCCACCCGGCTCCCAGTCCATCCTGAAGTGCAAGTGTTTGGTTATGACCTCACCTCTTCACACCTGGAGACCTGTCACAGCATGGCCAAGTCCAAACAACTCACTCCTCCACCCAACACTCTCTTCCTAATATTCAAATACACCAAACAGAATGCATTTAAAAAATGGGGCACCTTCTTAAGGCAACCACTTTCCATTTTTCTGGGTTCACTTCTATAAAATATCTCCTCTCAAATTATTCTGAATTCTGCTTTAGGATTTCACTTCCTAAAATACCACTTGGAAGAGGTCATTTCACATTGCAAGATCTTTAGCAGATCCTTTGTCTTAATAAAATTTAAACCCCATAGCAAAGCAATCAAGAGTTCTTAGCATTAGTGAATAAACAATACTTTTAAGTCTTTTTTTTTTCCCACCATCCTACATTTCTTGAGTGTTCCTGCTTGGTTTTACTCATGCCATTTCTTGTGCATTTCGACGCTCATTTTGTCTACGGAAATCTGTGGTTCTACCTACCTTTTTAAAGGATTAGCTCAAAGGTTCTCTTTTCAGAAGTCTTCAGATGCCCTCCAATCGAATACTGAAACCCCTGTCCCTGTGAATTTAAAGCCAGTCCTTCCTAGGTGCCTCTCCCACCACTCCAAAATAGCCCAGGTACCTTGCCCGCTTCACATAGCCACATGATCAATCTCCTAAGAGGAAACCATCCATTTTCTCCTGCTAGTAGCCAAGCTCCTCTTAAAACAGATTCTATCATTTTCTTCTTTTAATGCCCCAAAGCACATAGAGCAACTCAAGTGTGCCCTCAATAAGTAACTGGATAAATAGAGAAATAGGAGTCAATTTTTTGAGAAACTAGTGATTTACAGAGCTTTTGACAGAGAGGCAGTTTAATGGTTAAGAGCATGGATATGCGGGTCAGAGTGATCTGGATTTAGGTTCACCAGGTTACTCAGCCACTGTGTGTCTTAGGCATTTCCTCTAAAAATGAAGTTAATGATCCCTACCTAATATGGCGATTGTGACAATGGGGTAATAAAGCACAAAGAACCTCAACATGATTGTCTGTGGGACATGCTAGAGAGATAACTGTTAGATTACCTCTGGTGTCATAGGAAACTCTGCACAATGTGGTGCTTAAGGGGCATTTAAATAACTACTTCTGTGATTTAGGGAACAGTCAAGTCTTTAGCTGGACTGGCCTCTCAACAACCACTTTTTTTTTTTTTTTTTTGGCCGGGTCATGTGGCACGTAGGATATTAGTTCCCCGACCAGGGATCTAACCCACTGGACCACCAGGGAAATCCCAACAACCACTTCTTAATTGCTGACAAGTCCTTTTGACCTCTCTATGCCGCTGAAGTTTCCTTAGGTTATGTACATAACGTGGTGGTAAGACATTTACCTGACAGAAATGTTGAGTAAGATAATGTACGTAAAAGCACTACGTAAACTATTGTAAAAGATCAGTTTTATTATGGACTTCGACTCAGAGAAAAAAGCCAAAAGTATTAAACATTTTATTCAATTTCTAGCACATTCTGTGAGGGCCTTGAAAATAAATTTCTCTCTTTCACATAATTTTTCTTCCCAGTTAATTTGGTTTCTCAAGTTCCCAAAATGAAAGCCGAATCTGAAACGGTTATATTTTGCTCCCTCTGCTGGCCTGTAAGGAGAATAACACTACCTAACAGGAATCATTCAAGATCATCTAAATGTTTATTTTCATGGACTTGACTATAAAGATGTAACGGCATTCCACATAAAGACAAAAAACATAGTTTCAGCTCTATCTGATATATCTGACAATTAAACACAATTTTTTTATGTCTACTTTTTGTTTTTAACAATTATCATAGGATTCAAATCTAGAAAATTATTTTTGTACAAAGGCTAGCTGCCCTCCATTTATCTTTTTCAAAATGATTACTTTAAAAGGTCCTGCTGTTTCTATATTTAAGGCTGAAATCCACCGAAAATACCCAAACTTGTAATTTCTTTATTTCCTTTGCTGCCACTAATTTTTGCAACCACAAAATTTACTTCCAAACTTACAAGGTTGTATATACTTATTTAACTGTGAATCATTTTTTTGTATTCAAAGTCTCAGATTATGTATATGAAAGCTAATTTATTAAACCTTTGTACACAAAGATGAACATACCTGTATAGCAAGCTTATATGAAGAATGAAGTTACAAAAAAGTAAAAGTGTTATTAAAACTGATGCATGTAAATCACTTACAAAAATATCCGAAATGGGATAAAGCTGCTCATCCCTGATTTTTCTCATTTGGTTCACAGAGTTGAAATATGAACTTTAAATGGTTAGAATTTTTTCTTTTAAAAAGTGATATATTAAACTTACGTACAGGATAATTAGCAAAATGTAGAAAGGGAAAACAATGTACAAAAGACAGATAAAAATCATCACTCTTGACAGACACAATCCAAAAATAGTATAAACCTTAACAGCCTATCTCTAAACCAGCTCCTACCTACGTTCCCCCCCCCCCAAGGTTTTATCAGCAAGAATAAAATACAGTAAACCAGCAAGCTCAGTCTTTCTGTTCTTTAAGAGGCCTGACTTCAGACCACAATTTTTTGCGGTACGCGGGCCTCTCTCACTGTTGCGGCCTCTCCCGTTGCGGAGCACAGGCTCTGGACGCGCAGGCTCAGCGGCCATGGCTCACAGGTCCAAGCCGCTCAGCGGCCATGGCTCACAGGTCCAAGCCGCTCAGCGGCCATGGCTCACGGGCCCAAGCTGCTCAGCGGCATGTGGGATCTTCCCGGACTGGGACATGAACCCGCGTCCCCTGCATCAGCAGGCGGACTCTCAACCACTGTGCCACCAGGGAAGCCCTAGATAGACTTCTTTTAACATGGGAGGGACAAACAGGAAAATAATTTTACCTGTCCACTTAGTACTAATTACCAGAATGCAGAGTTATAATTAAATAGCTCTTGGTGCTATGTCAAAAGCAGTTATTCAGAAGCCTTCTTGTTTTTTTGCTGGTTTCGGGGCGAGTTCTTTAACAGGTTTCTTATCCTGAGGTACATTCCAGTAGATTCCGCCATGTTCTCGAATTCAAATGGGGTTATTCCGGTTGCAAACTTGCTCATGTCAGGGATAGGGCTATGGATTTTAGTGGCTGTTCCAGAACTGGTGTCCGTTTGAAGGAGCTTCTGGCTGCTGCCTCCATTCTTGACCTCACAGTCTGACTCGACCCTGCCGCTGTCAAGAGCACCTTTAGAGTCTACCTGAGCCGGCTCTTCCTCTTCTTTCTGGCCAGGCAAGGCAGCCTCAGAATCTGGACTCAAGGTTTGTTCAACTTCTGACTTCTCTGTACTGGTGTCTGGCACCTCAGCCTCATCTGACATCTGCTTTTCAGATGTTTTTCCCTCTGGGACAGGGAGGTCAGGCTCATTCGGGCACGGTGAAGAGGCAACCGAATTCCCGGTTAAAGGTGTGTCAACAGGAATATCAGAATCACTGTTTACGCTCTCGGCCTGCTCGAGGGCCGCCCAGATCCGCCTCTGCTGTTCTTCAAGTTCCTCCAGAGTCAAAGTGTCCTCGTCCATAGTCACAGATGTCGCTCTGGTCTGGGGTGAGTCACTGGGAGTGAGCGGCGGGGTGCCCTTGGGCAGCGGAGGCGTGAAGATGGGTGGAGGGGTGCTCCGGGGGAGCGGAGGTGTGCCAGGGGGCAGCGGGGGCTGAAACTGAAAAGCTTCACTGCTCGGGGACCCGTGCGGGACCTCTGCATCTGAAACGAGGACGTTGAGAAACTTTGAGTTGTCATATAGCATTTATTTGGTTTTACGAACACTTATTATTTGAACTCAGGTGAATCCAGAGGTTCGCTGGCCAAAATTACTGGCTCAAGAGGGGAAAACTGGACCCTCAGATACCATGACCATCACTTAATGTCCTCAATCCACCTGGAAAGAACATCTGCAGGGGGAAAGGTCAGGATCTCTGGCGCCGGGAACTTTAACCAAGGGAAAACTTTAACACAGTAGGAAACTGGGCTGGCACTTCAGCTGCCTAGACTCCAGAGTGGGTGGAGGCAGAAGGATATGAAGTGGAGCTGGCAGGGCAGGAGGGCCCCTGGCTTATCTCCCAATTCTGTACCCTCAGTCTAGACTGCTCGCCTGAACTGTGGGTTCATGCAGCCAACTGGTCACTGGTCTTCACTACCTGTACGTCGCACAGACACAACAGATCCGACCTGTCCAAAACAGAGGATCTTTCC